GACAGTCTGATGTTGGACAGACAGATGTTAGACAGATGTTGGACAGTCTGTCTCTTGTCTGTCTTGTTGTGACATCACTGTCTCCTCTCAGACTCCATCGCCAACAAGCTGCACATGCAGAAAGTGTCGGACTTTGCTTTGTCTCCTGGAGGACAGCCCTGTAAGGTGAGGAGACGGACCTCATCCTGGTCCCGGTCCCTTATTTGTCCCCTCTGTCCACCTGGTGTTGTTTGTCCCCTGCAGGTGGCCGTCTACGTCCCGGGCAGCAAAGGAGCGCCATCGTTCGTGCGCCTGTATCAGTATCCGTTGCTGGGCGGGCCGGGCGCCGCGCTCGCCAACAAGAGCTTCTTCAAGGCGGACCGGGTCAACCTCCAGTGGAACCAGAAAGGTGAGAGCGCGGGGGACATGTCCGGAGCTGCGGTCCAAATGGTTCCTGGATCTAAACCCGTGTCTCCGTCCCTCAGCGTCGGCGCTCCTGGTGACGGCGAGCACAGAGGTGGATAAGAGCGGGGCGTCGTACTACGGCGAGCAGACGCTGCATTACCTGGCTGTGAACGGAGAGACGGCTGTGGTTCAGCTCCGTAAGAACCGGGTCCAGTTTGTCCTCTGACAGAACCTGAGTCTGGTCCTGTAGTCCTGACCCATGTCTCTCCTCTCTGTTTCAAACAGCAAAGAACGGTCCCATCTACGACGTGGCGTGGAGTCCTAACTCCACGGAGTTCTGCGTGGTTTACGGCTTCATGCCCGCCAAGGCCACCGTCTTCAACCTGAAGTGTGACCCGGTGTTCGACTTCGGAACCGGACCCAGAAACTCTGTCTACTACAGGTCAGACTGTCTCCGAGGTTCTGAGCTGTTTGAAAGGTCCAGATCCGTCTGCAGGATCAGACCTGGTCCACAGTTCTACCAGTAACTGCTTGTCTGTAAGTGCTGCAGGGTAATCTGTCCCTCCTGGTCTCAGTCCTCAGGGACACATCCTGGTCCTTGCCGGCTTCGGGAACCTCCATGGACAGATGGAGGTGTGGGACGTGAASAAGTACAAACAGGTGAGGCCTTCACCTGGAGTCCAGTTACTGGTGCAGAGGCTCTGGTCAGGGTTCACCTGAGAGTGGAGGGGCTGCTGCAGAAGAGAGCCCCCTGTTATTAGCTGTTAGCCCCCTGTTAGTAGCTGTTAGTAGGCGTTAGTAGCTGTTAGCCCCCTGTTATTAGCTGTTAGCCCCCTGTTATTAGCTGTTAGCCCCCTGTTAGTAGCTGTTAGCCCCCTGTTAGTAGCTGTTAGTAGGTGTTAGTAGCTGTTAGCCCCCTGTTAGTAGCTGTTAGTAGCTGTTAGTAGGTGTTAGTAGCTGTTAGCCCCCTGTCAGTAGCTGTTAATAGCTGTTAGCCCCCTGTTGGTAGCTGTTAATAGGTGTTAGTAGGTGTTAGTAGCTGTTAGCCCCCTGTTAGTAGCTGTTAATAGGTGTTAGTAGCTGTTAGCCCCCTGTTAGTAGCTGTTAATAGGTGTTAGTAGCTGTTAGCAGCTGTAATTAGCTGTTAGCCCCCTGTTATTAGCTGTTAATAGATGTTAGTAGCCGTTAGTCCCGTTAGCAGCTGTAATTAGCTGTTAGCCCCCTGTTAGTAGCTGTTAATAGATGTTAGTAGTTGTTAGCCCCCTGTTAGTAGCTGTTAATAGCTGTTAGCCCCCTGTTGGTAGCTGTTAATAGATGTTAGTAGCTGTTAATAGACGTTTGTAGCTGTTAGCCCCCTGTTAGTAGCTGTTATTAGCTATTTGCCCCCGTTAGTAGCTGTTAATAGATGTTAGTAGCTGTTAATAGATGTTAGTAGCTGTTAATAGATGTTAGTAGCTGTTAATAGCTGTTAGCCCCCGGTTATTAGATGTTAGCCC